ATATATATATATATATATATATATATATATATATATATATATAATTTTTTATAGAAATATTTATAATTATATATAATATATAATTATATTTTTATTTTTAGAAATATTTTTAATTTTTATAAGAATTTTTATCTTCTTGATACATTAATCAATACAATTCATCGATTAATTAGATAAAATTTCGATTTAAAAGAAACTAGTGATTATGAATTATTACGTAAACTAAATTGCCAACTTCCGTAAACTATCTAAAGCTATCTATAAATTTTTTATTAGTCACTACCAGTTGCATGAATGCATTAAAAATCGACATTGATCGCAAAGTGCTATAAGTTTAAAAGTAATGAAAATTAAATTGGAGGAATATTTTATTACAAGATTCAGAGTTTGTAAGCATTTCGCATCATTAGATCAAAATAGGCATCATGATCAATGCTTGCGCTGATAGCGCTATAATAATTCGTAAATTCTTCTTCGGTAACCTGTAACAAAAAATATAGATTCAATACCTTATTCAAAATTACTTTTCATATCAAAACTAGAAGAAAGTAATCCATTTACTCTATTTAAAAATTCTAATAGAAAAAAATAAAATTTCATAGAAATCTTTCCTAGAAACAAAAAAATACTCACTGTGCCATTTCTAGTATTGTTCTCTTCAAAATTTGCTAAAAACTTGTTGAGAATACTTTCCTCACTTTCTTCGCCACTGATATAACGGGGATGACACTTAACGTTATAAACTCCTCTTAAATCATCGATCGTGATCACTCCATCACCAGTTTTATCCAATTTTTTGAAGGCTTGATCTACTACATTTTTGCGATTTTGAGACATTGGGGGCTAAAAAGAATTTTTTTCTTAATAATTCAACGATAAATAATGGAAAAGTATTTATATATAAGTTATGAAAATACACATACTCTTATACCAATAATAAACTCATCGACGTTAATGTTTCCATCGTTATCTGTGTCGAATTTGTTAAACATTTCTTGAATCTCTTCATCTGAAATATCCAAATCACTTTCTTCGAGACCTTTGGTGAATTCTTCTAAGTTCAATTTCTTATTTCCATCATCATCCATACGACGAAAAATTCTATATAGATTAAACATTCTAGAAATTTCTCATTCTATAAGCTACGATATAATAAATTATATTTCATTAAAATAATAAAATAAAAAAAGTAACAAATTTAAATTTTTTCATATTAAAAAAAATTATTTTTTCTTTTATAAATTTTGAATTGTATATTTTATTATTTTTGTGCCATATTATATATAATGTATTTAAAAAAATTCTTTTAAAAAAACAGTATTATCAACTTACCTGCCCAAACCAAGAATACCATTGGCACCTCTGGCCAGGCAAAGCAAACGAAGTTTTTCTGTAGAATCTGTGGTGCTTTGCAAGGCCTGTTGAGCTTTATAGATCATCTCAATCTCTTGCCTGGTTGTTGCGCTTTGAGGTCTATTCAAGAACATTCCTGAAAAAGAAAACCATATTATGACTCACGGCTATGACGCATCAGTTTAAAAGAGAGATAGCAAATGAATATCTGAAAAATTTGATTTTAAAATTATTTTAATAAAAAAACGAATAAAACAATTTTTAATTCTATCTTTGAATATTTTAGAAATTTAATATTATTCTATTCATTTTGGATCAAATATGCATTTAACCGTTGATTCCTGTTATTGATTATCTCAATCAGATAAAGACAAAAATAAATGAAAAACTTACGAAGAAAATAAATTGAAGAAAAAATACGAGTTTTACTATTAATTTTATGTTATTACATGCATATATTTTATTTCTTTATATATTTCTTTATATATGTTTCGATCAATTCATTCATTAAAACACAAATTAATTTCTTTCAAAATATTAACGAACGATTCCATTTTCATTTAATTAATTAAGTACATAATAAGAAAAAAACAAAAAAGATTTGATAAAATTATTTCTCATCGACTTTGCTTTTATTTATTTAAATCATTGAATAGTTTTTGATATTTTAATTCATCAAGATGCTTAAATTATTTAACTGTATATATTTACAAATATGGAGTATTAAATATATGATAATTAAAATTGTAATTGACAATATCAATGTATAAATTCAAGTGAACTTTTAAGAAGTTTTTTTTTGTAAAAATCAATAGAATAATTAATTATTATTTATAGAAATAAATATAAATAAATTTAATATTAAAATTATTTATAAAAACAATGAAGAAAGATTTATTTTTAAACAAGTTATATTAGGAAAAACATATTAATATTATTAATAAAATCCATAATTAATTATCCTTAATTCTTAATTAGAGACTTAATTAGTTTTTTTTTACATCGTCATCGTTCATCTTTAAAATATTTTATTTATACCAATAATTTCAAATGATTATCTCCATTATATAATTATTCAGAAAAAATTTTTATTCATTTATTAATTTTAATTTTTGTGATCTAACTTACCTTGATATTTAGAAGGTAAGACTGGAACTGCATATATTAATTTTTTAAAGAAAATCTGATCAACTGTTAATGATAAGGAATGCGAAAAAAATTCGTGGCTCTTTTGAAGAGGATCAAAAGGCAATTGACGACAGGGGATTCCCTGGATTCGCGCATTCTATAGGATATTATACATTACACATAATAGATAAAACACATTCATATATGAAAATGAGGTGTGTTCGATATATAATCTGTACAATAGTTTGTAGAAAACGTATCCATAACAACCAATTGGTCACAACATATGTATCAGCAAAAAATTCACGCGTGATCAGTCACGAATACCGATTTCCTGTCGATAATTCTTACATGGTTGTTCACAAAAAATTTACTTCTCAAAAAATTTCTATATTTCATTGTCACCATATTTTCCAAGAAAATATTGAAATTATTGAAAATAAAAAGTTTTTTATAAAATTTAAAAAATAAATTTATTGAATTTAAAAGCATTAAAATTTTCTAATTGCATAATTATTAAAATATAAGATTATATCCGGTTTGTGCTCCAAGAGATTTATTCACAATCGGTACAATATATATGATAAAAATAATATTACGTGAAAAATTTTTTGGACAATGTAAGTATACTTGATATACAATGTAATAATATTAATTTTTACATTGTATATATATATAAATATATTTCGATAAATTATATTATTCGATATTTTAGTTATTAATATAATAAGTTAATTATATTTAATTAAAAATAATTATAATAATTATTTTAAATTTTATTTTGCTGCATAATTATATAATTATATAGTATAATTATGTAATATACTAAATTAAGTACTAAATTATTATCTTGTGATACAATAAACACAGGCAAAATGTAATATAATATTTTATGAAATTATATATTATGTTTCTAAAATATCAATTAATATAAAAAAAAGTAAAAATTACTTTATTGAATTTATTGAATTTATAATATTATAATAAATTCAATCATTAATAAAGATATAGTTAATATCTGTATAAAAATCCTCATTTGTTAAACTTTCGAAAGAAAATCTTTTATGATACATACTGATAGTAATAGCAATCTGTAACAATATAGTATATATGTATATATGTAAGCATATATAAAATAAATTTTCGAATTTACAATAATTATACAATAATATAATGATATGATAATTATATAATGATTATTTAAATATAAAATAAAAAATTAAAATATTAAATTTATTTTATCACAATTTTATTAATTTAAAATGATGATAAGTTATCGACTAATAGAAATTACATTTATTTTCTGTCGATAATAATTTTTATAACTTAAAATTTGTTCAAATGTTTGTTTAAATCATTATGTATTTTTTAAATAAAAAAATAAATACATAATTTATTGTTTATATAAAAAATATAATAGAAAAAATTAATTATTTTGTAAATGTTTTATTAAAACATAAAAGAATATTCTAGAATAGAAAATACCATATGTTACATCTATCTACCAATGCCAAGAAGACATTTGGACCGAGTTTTAACCGGCTTTTATCTCATTGGTCAATGTGTATTGCGTGGGGTCATTTTATTGGTGGATCACTAAAGTCTTTACTATATGAAAGTATCGTGGGTTAGATTATATGACAGTCGGCATAAAACAGTGGATCGTAGTGTTTGAAGTGAATTTGGGAATATTTCGCTTTTTTCCTGCCATTATTCGGAAACAGTTCACGGCAGCAATGAGAAAAGCGTTAATGTTGCTATCGATTTTCTTCTTTCTAACAGGTGAGTTTTAATTAAAAAAATCTGTAATTATGGAAAAAATTGTTTCAAAATGCATATGTTAATTGAGTAAGAGCATCAATATATCTTTGTTATGTAGGATTTGTTAGAGCAGAGAATTTGGTGGAAGAAGATATTGGAACTGTGGAAAATGATTTGAGTGCTAGCCGCGAAGGATCTCGAACGGGTAAAATATTTCGAAATCATTTATTTAATAACAATTGAACAAACCGCTCTTTTATCTTATATTCACATTTCATTTCACACGCAGACAATATTAAAAATATTTTTTCATAATTTTGTTATAATATATTTTTAATAATAAAATTGGTAATTTATAGATAAAATTAATTAATTTGTAATTTGTAATTTTACAGATAATGAAGTAATTCAAAGAGAAGAGGAAGCAATTAAACTTGATGGATTAAATGTAGCTCAAATTAAAGAACTTAGGGAAAAAGCTGAAAAATTTACTTTTCAGACTGAAGTCAATCGTATTATGAAACTTATTATAAACTCTTTATATCGTAACAAAGATATTTTTCTGAGAGAGTTGATATCTAATGCATCTGATGCATTAGATAAAATCAGATTGCTCTCACTTACTGATAAAAATGTTTTGGATACCAATCCAGAACTAGCAATTAGAATAAAATCTGATAAAGAAAATAAAATATTAAGTATAACTGATTCTGGTATTGGTATGACCAAACATGAATTAATTAACAATCTTGGAACCATTGCTAAATCAGGAACTGCTGAATTCTTAGGCAAAATGCAAGAAACTTCTAATACTCAAGATTTAAATGATATGATTGGCCAATTTGGAGTTGGTTTCTATTCTGCTTTCTTGGTTTCTCATACAGTAATAGTTACCTCTAAGCATAATGAAGATAATCAACATATTTGGCAGTCTGATAGTAGCAGTTATAGCATTGTAGAAGATCCTAGGGGAAATACATTAAAGAGAGGAACTACAGTGAGGTAAAAAATACAACAATTTTTTCATATTTTATTTTTTATAAAATTTCAAAATTTATAATTATATTTCAATTACAGTTTACATTTAAAAGATGAAGCATTGGACTTTTTAGAAGAAGATACTATTAAAAATCTTGTAAAAAAATATTCACAATTTATCAATTTCCCCATATATTTATGGAGCAGCAAAGTTATCCAAGTAGATGAAGAAGAGGAAGAAGAAGAGAAACGAGTAAAAGAAGATGAAGGTGAAAAAAAAGATTCTATTGAAGATAAAGTGGATGAGGAAGAGGATGCAAAAGTAGAAGATGTAGAAGAAGAAAAGAAAACAAAGAAGGTTGATAAAACTGTTTGGGATTGGGAATTGTTAAATGATTCTAAACCTATATGGACTTTAAAGCCATCTGAAGTTGAAGATAAAGATTATAATGATTTTTATAAGGTTTTAACAAAAGATACTCAGGATCCTTTAGCAAAAATCCATTTTGTAGCAGAAGGTGAAGTCACCTTTAAATCGCTTCTTTTTATTCCTAAAGTTCAGCCAAGTGATAGTTTTAATCGTTATGGTACTAAAGCAGACAATATTAAATTATATGTCAGAAGAGTTTTCATCACAGATAAATTTACAGATATGATGCCTAACTATTTATCCTTCATTCGTGGTATCGTTGATAGCGATGACTTACCGTTAAATGTTTCACGTGAAAACTTACAGCAACATAAACTTATTAAAGTAATCAAAAAAAAATTAATTAGGAAAGTATTAGATATGATCAAAAAGATTCCTAAGGAAGATTATGAAAAATTCTGGAAAGAATACAGTACTAATATTAAATTGGGTGTGATCGAAGATGCTCAAAATAGAGCCAGATTATCCAAACTTTTGTTATTTCAGTCCTCTACACAAAAAGATTTTACATCATTATCAGATTATGTAACCCGAATGAAATCTAGTCAACAATTCATTTATTATATTGCTGGCTCTTCTGAAGAAGAAGTAAAAAAATCTCCATTTGTAGAAAGATTAGATAAAAAAGGCTATGAAGTTCTATATCTTACCGAAGCAGTTGATGAATATGCTATTTCTGCTCTTCCTGAATTCGATGGTAAGAAGTTCCAGAACGTAGCCAAAGAAGGATTTTCGCTTGATGAAGGCGAAAAGGCCAAAGAAAGAATGGAACAATTGAAAACTACTTTTGAACCATTGGTTAAATGGCTGAATGATGTTTTGAAGGATCACATCAGTAAAGCTCAGGTTTCTGAACGTCTTACAGATTCTCCGTGTGCTTTGGTTGCTAGTATGTTTGGATGGACAGGAAATATGGAAAGATTAGCTATTTCGAATGCTCATCAAAAGACTGATGATCCTCAGAAAAATTATTATTTGAATCAAAAAAAGACTCTGGAAATCAATCCAAGACATCCACTTATTAGAGAACTTTTGCGTAGAGTAGAAGTTGATACTACTGATCAGACAGCAAAGGATATTGCATTGATGATGTTCAGAACAGCCACCCTTCGATCAGGATATATGCTCAGAGAAACTGCCAGTTTTGCGGATAGTGTAGAGCAATTAATGAGAAAGACTTTAGGTATTTCTCTAGATGAAGTTCCTGAAGAGGAAGAAATACAAGAAGAAGAATCTGGACCAACAGAAAAACAAGATTCTGAAAAAATTATTGATATGGATGCAAATGAAGATGATCAAGATGAAGAAAAACATGATGAATTATAATTGAAAATTGTATCACATTAGAATATAATTTTTTAGTTGTATGGCTATACAATGTATAGTGATTATCATTGAAGGTGCAACTATTGTTGCAAGCAAATATGAACTATTGTACAGAGTAAAAAATAGTTATATCCTTTGATGATGCTTTGCTATGTCACATTGTTTTTTTTATAATAATATTGCAACTATGCATCAAAGGATATGATAATTATGCAAGTATAGAAAAAAATATATCACTCATTAAGTTTGTCATAATACTTGTAGACTCATAAGTTCCATTTTTGGTAAAAAAAATTTATCCATAATTTATTTCGTTTGATCTTCCATCTTTTTATATGTAAGTAAAGTGAAAGAAATTACTGACTGAACCTAATAAATATATATAAGTTTATGATGGGATTAAATGCATTTGTATTTATATAAAAAATATTTAAAAAGATATTATTGAAATATCATTAGTTTTTTTATATGAAAAGATTATTTCTGATTAGAGATTATTTTTATTTATTCTTTTTTTTTTTAAGTAAAAAATAAAATTCCAAAAATTCATCAATTGAAAAACTACTATAATATTCTTCATTGTCAAAAATAAAAATAAAAAACAATTATTTAATATTTTGTTTTTATACGAATATAATTTAAAGATGGATCTTTATATTTATCGAAATCAATAAACTATTGAGTTTAACAAAGTCAAATTTTTATTTTTTATGTATAGAAATTTAACCATATATTATTCGTATTAAAATTGAACAGTAAATTTAAAATTATCTATTGCATTCGATTTTAAATTTATAAAACGATGTAGAAAGTATTATTATGAAATTTTAATATTCCAAATTATTTTAGATACATTTTTTGTTAATTCGTATTTTCAAAACAATGTTAAGTTATTCATTTCCGGCAAATACAATTGATTCTGATGAACGAACCAATAAGAGAATAAATTCCCATGGAACTGGGACAAACAACGTAGATATCCGAGCGCGGCCGAGCGCTCATTTCCGTTTTCGAATCCGACGTCATCTACTCTCAAAGCCCGTGTGTTTTGTGTTTCTTTGGGGCCACGATGATTATCGCTAATTTAATGTAAGTATTATCTTGTTTCATTTTATGATCGTTTAAATTATAATAATTAGAATTCGCATGGTGCCGTTTGTATAGAAAATTGGTCACGAAACCGCGCGAATTCCTTGCGTAAGTTTTACACGAACAGAGATCTCGCCATGCCGGTCTATAAAGTTCCTTTTTCTTAAGCATGTTCAATTAATTGAGAAATGATAATAAAAATTATTGCCAGCTATCTTTCATTTTTGTCATAATAATTGTCTTGAAAAAATCGATTAACTTGACTGAGATACGAAAACAGGACAAGACGGATGGCCACATATAAACAAAATAAATGGCGTCAGCATACTTATATTCTGAATATGACAAATTTCGATTTCTCGAGTATTCTTTGACTAAAAATTTTGATTCTAACATTTTTTTTTTTGAATCGGAATAAATTTAATGCATAACTTTGAAAATTTTTCTTGTTATTACTAGGCAATATAATCGTTAAGTGTTGTTTAATTTATTTCTTGTATTAATATTTTCTATAAAAAATTTTTAGTTTAGCAATGTGCAATTTGTCAAATTTTATAAATTATATTCTCTTTTGAATAATTTAATTTTAATATTAAAAATATTATTAGAAAAGAAAAAAGTTTGCTTTATGCAAATAATAGATAATGTTTGTTTTTCAGATTGAAATTATTGAAACTGAAATTAGATTTTTTTGTATCTTAAAAGTATCTAAAATAAAAAACTAATAAAATTATTCACTCATTTAATAAATTAAGCGAGGGAAAGATATCGTAAAAATACGTAATAACCAAACAAGCTTGATTAGAATTGGACTAAAAGAATTTTGAACAAAATGGGTATTCAAGATCTGCAAGTTTTTTTGGATAGTAATTATGTACAAGGTGGATCTATACCTGTGGATCTGTTAAAAATAGCACGTACTATTACTCAAAGACAACATAATCGCATTAGTAAAGCACAACAATTGCATTCTGGAAAATTAAGATTAGTTCTCGATGGAGAATGCTGTTTAGATAGGTTATATGGAGGATATTTCTCAGGTATATATATATATATATATATACATATTGTTTTTATTTTGCATAAATATTATTAAACTAGTTATTAACTAATTATTATTTAGTTACTTAAAAAAATCATTTTTTATTTAGATTGGGCTTGTGGAGGACAATGGAATAGAATGTTGCAATTTTTAGCTGTTCTCATACAAGCAACAGAAATGTCAGGTTTAGAATTAGCTGTATTCTTTAATGGATGTTTCGAATCTTCAAGACGTGCAGATTGGATTCTAAACCAATTGCAAGTGCGAATTAAAGTAAATAATGTAAGTAATAATATATTAAAATACTTGAAATCTTTAGAATTTATATAATTTTAGATATAAATGATTTTCCAGGTATTAAAACATATTTCAACTAAGGGTACTCCTCCACCAAAAATTTGGTGGACTCCACCAGTTTGTTTAAGAACCAGTCTACGTATGGCTTTACGGCATTTGAATGTTACAGTACTATGTAGTATGGATGATCACCATCAAGAAGTAATCGCATATTGTCGAGAGAATAATTTTAATGGCTTAATTGCTGACGATGCAGAATATGCTGCATTTGATCCTCCACGATATTTCTCATCTGAACAATTAAAACTCACATATAAAGGCTCTCTTGACACCAAAGAGTATATTCTTCCAGAATTTTTAAAAGCTTTAAACATCCCTTCTGATAGACTATGTTTATTAGCTGCATTACTTGGCAATTATATTTTAACTGAGCATGACTTAACTGATTTTTATAAAAAATTGAATGTCAATACTAATCTGAATAAAGTAAATGTTGATCATACAATTAAAACCATCGCAAATTTCGTTCGAGATTTACCATCTGTTGAATTGGATGTAGTTTCGCAAAAAGTTTTTGGATCTCTATCAGATCCGAGATGTTCAAAATTGAGGCAATCAGTTCAATACTATATAAACGGAACTAAAGATGGATTTTTGCATTATAAACCAGTGAAACCAAATAGAGGTAAATTCTTGCTTCAATTTAGAATTTATCATCTTATGATATTTCAGTTTTAATGAAAAAATTATTTCAGTACACAAATTAGATTCTAAGCAAAGCGTTCAACAACAATCTAATTTATCTGAAACGCCCTCAACTTCAGAAGCCGAATCGAATTTAGAAACATCCAGATTTGCATCTGAGACTGTAGAAAGCGAACGCGAGAGTTTAAACGCATATAAGCAAGCTACTGCAAACGCAAAGTCCGCACCACAAATTGTGATAGATCCACCGGGTATCCAAGGCCATGGAGATGCTGATAATATTAGGACAGAGGAAGAACAAAATAATGGGCATGCTATTAATGGTACACACAATCTTCTAATTAGTTCATCAAGTTCAAGCAGTAGTTCTTCTGCAACATCTCCATCTCATGCGACGGCTGATTCATCGAAACAAATGGAAAAAACAATGACTATTCCTAGTACAGTACCAGAAGTAATGCGTACCGCATCTGAACGGCATCAAAAAGGTTTAATGTCTCCTCATATTTATCAAATTCTCATTGCTGGAGAAATAAAGCTGCCTGTTCTTCTCGAAGACGAAAATCATCGCGAATTTCCATCGATACATCTTATTTATAGACCTGTTAGACAAATGGTATATGCAATATTGTTTAATCTTCATCACAGAATGTATTTAGCTGCTAAAAGTAAGAAAAAGGAGGTAAGTAAAGTAATTCATTTACAGATATTTTGAAATTGATATGTTTGTTAAATTATCTTCAATTAATAGATAGTGAAAAAATTGAAGTCCCAGATGTTGTAATAAAAGAGTGGGTATGGTCCAAATCAAATCCATATCTTACTCCGGAATCTGTAAAAGCAGAACAAATTGGTTGGGGTGTTCCTACAATACAACGTTTATGGTTTGGGTAAGTATTTTATACAATTATTCTTTTTGAAAAATAAAAAGAATTTTATATTCATTTTTCATTTGCAGCACAGGCATAGATGATAAACGTCGTCGTTTACGTGGATTTTTGACTTGTATGAAATCAGATACACCTCTTATGTTAAACACTTCCTATGTACCACAACATCTTTTAGTCATGGCTTGTGTATTAAGGTAAATTATGATTTTTTTTTTTAAATAATTTTTTTTTTAGTAAATTTAAATAAGCATATTTTTATATAGATATATTATGTCGTTTTCGGAGAAAATAAAGGTTTTACGTCGTTGGGAATTAGATGCTTTCATTGCACAAGCATTTTCGCCAGAGCTTATGAATGCTCAGTATTTACAAGATCTCCAGGTAAGTTGAATAACTTCTATTAAATCATTAATATCAATTTTATATTATTTTTTATTTTTTCGTGCAGCTTCCTTTAGTAACATCACGTGGAGTGCAATTAGCTACTTTATTTATGGCCGGTGTCGAAACCGCTCTCTTAGCTAATGATGCTTGTGGTGCCCCAATTCCATGGTTAATGTGTTGTCCATGGTTGTACTTTGATGGAAAACTATTTCATCATACATTAGCTCGAGCTAGGATTGCAAAAAATTTATTAGAACTTTGTGGTGGCCATATAGATCGTATCGTGAAAGTCGAACGGATGAAGAAAGCTATTTTAGAAGGTACCAATGTTATTTTTGCACGAGCACCACCAGTTGGTCCAGGTAAATCGATTTTTTTTATATAGTTAATTCTAAAATAATGAATTATAATGTATTAGTATTTTTAAAGTTTGAATCCTTAATCAATTGTTTCAGCATTTCCCTTCCAATAACCTTAGCATATCATGTACTTGTTTAATGATATGTTTTCGGAGTGGAAGGAAAAACATACAGCTATATTGCTTTGTGAACTTAATGAATTACAATAGTTTACGAATCTCAAAGCTGTTACAATAATTTTTTATATTTAATTCTTATAATATTTAATTTTTCTTTTCTTTTTGCAATAGGTATTCGCATGTCTGTACCTCAGAATATTCTGACTCCTGGATGTACGATCAATGATGGTTTAATGCGCGGAAGAGGCAGTGGAACTATACCTCAACGTGGATTGATGCGTCGTCCTATACCATCTCGCGGTGGACAATTAGAAATTGCTGGAGTTGTCGTTGGACAATGGGGTCCAAATTATGGACAACCTGGTCGTTTACCTCAGCCTCTACAAGGACATCCTCGCGGACGACTTCCACCTCAAGTACGCAATTTGTATAGTATGATAAAATTTTTATGAAGAATAATTATTATATATAGGAAGGATAAAATTCTACAAGTAAATTCGAATAACAGTAAAAATAATTTATAAATGATAAAAAAATATAATAATAAAATGATAGAATAAATAATTATAATATATTTTTATATAATTAATTCTAAAATAAATTAAAATTATTCCGTGTAATGTTTTAAAAAATAAATATGTGTGGTTCCAGGTAACTTCAATTGGTGGTCTTAAGTATGGTCTCCCTCGTGGTTTCACTCCTATGGGTCGTCCCACATTTCAAACGCGGGGAAACAATCGTGCGCAAATCGCAGGACGAGGGAAAAAGACACAGATGAAAGTAAGAGAAAGTCATTTTTATGTTATCCATGTTATATAATTTAAAAAAAAAAAAAAGTAAAATTATTTTTCAGGCAACTGGTAAAAAGAAAACTACTGTTAAAAAGAATAAAGAAAGTGAAAATAAAAAAGAAACTAGAGGACGAGGTAATAATATCGATGGAATAACTGACTACAGGTAACTTTATATTTGTGTATTAAAAAAATGAATATATTCATGAATATTTTTGTTTTGTTTTATTTTGTTTTTATTACTAGTGATTCAATTCCAAATATGAATGCAACAAAAGATGCACTGCCAGTACCAGGCCAATTTGAGGATGCCATAGAAAACGGCAAAGGGATAGAAAAAGGACAAGGAGATGCGTCACTGGTTGCTCCAGTCGCTGCTGAAAATTAGGTATTTATACATCACATTTTTATCGACTTTTAAAAATTCCCGGATGTGACTCAAGACTGCAAGAAAAAAAATCTTAGAAAAACAAATGTGTAAACGAGCAATGATGCGCTAATAACATTTGAAGGTTTTAATATAATTATTGCATATAAGAGAATTATTTTCAACATGTAAAAAAAGAAAAAAGGAAAGACTTACAATTTTTTCATATAAGTTTGATGTTTTAAAAAAAAAGAGAAGAGGAGAAATATTTAAACTAAATAGCCTTGAATTTTCGCACAATAAGCACTAAAAAAACTTTTCAAATGTTACGCGCAGAATCACTCAACAGCTATTATCTAAAGCTCTGATGGGGCCAAACTAATTAAACTAATGTAGGCAAAAAAGCATCGTTAATGCGATGTCAAGATATTGTAAAACTACAAGGATATAGACCCATTTTCGACGTACACGATACGATGTCCTCACTGCCAAACGTACCATTCAGTGTGTAGGATAAGAGCGAAAACGAACGTGATTTAAGAAAAAGAAGAAAATAAAAAAACAATAAAATCGTGCTTGTGCTAACACGAGCGTGTTTTTAGACTACTACTCCGCTCGGATCACCATAAGGATGAACTCGACTGATTAGTGTATGCGTGCGCTAATTTTACTAAGAACAAGAACAAGTCGTCAGCTGCTATAAGTATTTAATTCTTAAGAAGTGTGATTATTTTTTTTACAATGAAAATATATATTTTCCGGTATTATATGAAATGCTCGCATTGATAGTCTCAGTATTCTGATCTTTGTAAACGTCCAACGAAAATCATATACTTTAAGACGTCACGGACGAATAAATGAATAAAACATTAATGGATAAATCAATATAAAACAATATATTATGGATACTTTTATTCTGTTTTGTAGATAATGCGAAGCAGGATACTGAGACATTCATTAGCAAATGGAGACTGATGCTTTTCATATAGGTAAAATATATATTTATATATGGTTTAGATTAGAGATTCCCAATAGCATATTATATGTAAGTTGTAAATGATTGCTTGTGAGTATGTGTGCAATGGAATGTTAAGGTATTGTATGAGAGAAATACATAAAAATGAAAGAATATTGTTTTACTTGTGAAAATCGTAATGAAAGAATAAAGAGAGAGAAAGAAAATACCATAAATGCATGGTTGTAAGATCGAATATATAAAGAAACATAAGAAATGTATATAAACGTCGAATGTTAATGCGTGTCGGTTCACGTACACACGATGCATAAAAATACGAATACAATGAAGAATTGAGAATGCGTACGCGCGTGTATGTGGCCCGAATGATATATTTATTTGTTGTTGTGTCGATGAAAAGAGGAATGAATGATTTTTGGACGAATTATAAATTTCCATGTACGATAAGAGATACAATATGTACTCATGGACACGCGGTAGATTTGATGCAAGAGTAATCGGCTTGAATTTTCAAAAAAAAGAAAGACGAGGTTCTCTGAAAGAGTTATTCTTGTGAAAGTCTTTCGATGTCGCTTGGAAAATATGCTGCACTATGCGTTATTCTAATTCAATATCGTAAAATGAATCATATGTTAGTTAACAAAAAATAAGTAATAATTTGTATCATGGAGAAGATCATCTCTTTTTTATGATTCCATTGAAAGCTTTCTTTTTCTTTTTTTTCTATTATTTTTTCTTTTATTTTTTGGGTTAAAATTATATATATTCGTGCCTTTTGTAGCATATTTTCGAAAGAATGTACGATGTGTCCTTCCTTTAATTGTACATATGAATAGTTACTTTAGAAGTGACAGAATGAGGTTGGTGTAAATAAAAAAAAATCTGGTGATTTCACGCTTTTATTGCGTGAGGAGCCGATTCAAAATAGGAGATCATCATGTTAAAAGAAGAAAAAGAAAATACTATTATAATACTATTTATGCGTAGAATAGTCGAAAAGACATTCTATCAAAGATCATTGGAATTCGAAAGATAGATTTCTTTATCATTGAAGAATGATAATACACGTATAACAAAGATACAAAATAGTATGACAGAACAATTTATCAAAAGGAATGAAAATAAAAAGGAAAAAAGTAGATAAAAATGATATACGTCTAAAATGCAGAGATAATTTAAATTGAATAAGAGAGCGAACGAGAGCGAGAGAGAAAGCGATTGTGAGAGAGAAAATCATTTATTGAGATAATATAATGAAAGATAAAGATAAAAATGTTATATTTTTGTAGATTTGTTATTGCGTAAAAAATGCATTAAGACAATGAAAACTTTATATAATTTGAGCGACGGTTAAACTGAGCCTGAAAAAATTAAAATGAGTGACTAAGATCATAAAGAGAAAGGATATTGTATAGAGAATATGATAAAGATTTAAAAAAAAAACATAGAAGAAAATGAAAAAGTGCTTTAGAAAAAATGATGGTATGTTGAACGTGTTTGACATCTACGATTTAATAAGAAAATCTTATTAATTCTTTTGTATCTCCGAAGCTCTCAAAGTTCTGAGTTGCTTGCGAACAAACATAAAAATCTAAAAAAAAAAAAAAAATAAACAAAAACGAAAAAAAAAAAATAAAACTTGAAAATAGGAAAGATAATTTAAAAAAAAAAGAAGAAATTAAATGTCAGCTTCAATATGAGCTATACCAACATATGCATATAATAAACAGTTTTTTCAATATGATTCAAAAGAGATAATAAACAATAAAAATATAAAGAAATCAAGTGTCGTGAATGAAACTGTATAGACTAAAAAAAAGCAGAAATGAATATTGCTATCATTCGATGATTTTCAATTAATAATATACACTCGCACTATCATTATTTTCCAAATACAGTATATGATATATAATATGCACCAAAGTATATAAAGGAAAAAAAAATGATAAGAAAAAAGATCGTCGTGTATCTTTCTTGAACAATTTAAAATTAAAACAACGCAAATCGCTCATGAATAACTAACCAATGTAATGATAATAATAATAGTAATAATAATAATATTAATAATAAGAATAATGTTAAACTAGAAGCAGAGAGACGTTTCAGATCCGACGGATGAATAATTAAAAGTAAAATGCCACTTTACGCTTTCGTGTAAAGGTAGATTTTCTTTCTCAAAAATCAATCATCTTGATATATGCAAACCGAAGAATACAAAATATACAAAAAGTTAAAAAAACGATAAAAAAGACATTAAATGTATATATAGGGTATTAATGTATTTGTGATATTTTTAGAAAATTCATTCTATAGACTAAAACAAATACAAAAGTTTTTATATAAAAATTTCAGTTATAGTTATATATTTTATATATAAAAATATATAATATATATTTTATATATAAAATTTATTTATATAAAATTATAAACAATTTAAATTTGCGTTAGATAGAAGTGATATAAAGACAGAGTTACAGCTATAACGGAGAATTATCTCATTCTCTATCTTATTTCACGTAACATAAACTTAGACTGCTTATAATTTAATAAATAAGCTTCAACTGACATTTTTATATACTATTTTTTGTATTTATTTTAGCTTTTAGAATTGATGTTTCTAAAATATTCCATAAATATATTAACACCCTGTATATGTATATATACACATATAATATGATGGTACTCAACATAATCAGTTGCTACTGCACTGATATGAGGTAATGCAATAAATGTAAGAAATGAAATAATTTAAATATACTAAATATTGAAGCGAAAACAAAATAAAACCGATATGGAATATAAAAAAGAAAAAATACGAAAAAGGAGGAAAATAAAGAATGAATAAAAGAAAACAAATAAACACGAAATCCATATTATTGAAAATAATGCAACAGAGCAGAAGTATCATAAAAATCATAAAACATAATATATAATGAAAAAGAAAGAAGTGGAAACTTACCTGAAAATGGTAAATAAATGATCGACATAAAAAGATAGGTGCGCATCGTGCCTACTTTTTCGCTGTAATATGTATTTAAAAAAAATAATAAACATGTAAAAAATAGGGGCCCACGAAACAATTTCAACGATAGAGGATGTATCCATGCGAGAAAGTAAAACGAAATGAGCCAACACATAAAACGAATGACCTCTCTTTGTGTATTTAGAAAGTAAAAAAAAAAAAGGAAAATCCTATTTATCAACTCGATTTTCAAACATTGTGTGTCATTGTGCTAAACGAAAAATTAATTATATTTCGAAGTAAAGCACATCTTTAAACTCTTGCTATGTAATAATGATGATGATAATGATGATAATAATGATAATGATGATGGTGATGATTATAATGCTGGAATACTGATAATGATAAATGTTTAATTAGTGAGAAATGGGAACGACAATGTAAATTAAGTAATTATATATATATATTTTTCTTTTTCTTTCTTTTCTTTTTTTTTCCTTTTTTTTTCTTTTTTTTTATATTATATATAGAAACTAATTTTAATGTAAATCAATTTCCACTGGACTGTTTCTCTCTCTCTCTCT